CCCCAATAAAGGATACCCATACTTAGGCCTAAGTAGGGGCGAACTGGCTACTATGACTACAGGGTAGGTCCCACCAGTCGATACAACTCCCCCTTTCCACATACTCTCTACTATGCTAGTACGGTTGTATATTAGTAATACAGTACCAGTACCTACCGGTACCGTACCGTACGGTACCGTACTAGCTAGTAGCTAACTTGCAGCTTGATTGTACTTGCTTTGCTTGATCAAAATTCTCCTACTCCTGGGATCGACTTTATTAATTAAATAGTAGAGGTGAAAACTCCAGTAGACAGGAGCGAGCTGATGATGGCTTAAGGGAAGAGTTGTCGAATAACACTAGAAAGTGCTGGTACCACCGTACTTCACTCCCACTCAATCCGACGCAGCTTCCATAGTATTTGTTGGAAGCGTTCAGACTCAACTCGATCGGAGCCCAGACGTTCTGCTAAAGGCACTAATACTCGTCGACCCCGGCATCCATCCAACCCTTGTTTACATGTATCCCGCGTAAGAGAGCAATAGGTTTTCTTGACTGGTGCACCAGAAACCTCGGCTGGTAACGAAGAAACCAAAGCACTCCTTGTCCTTCCAGCTTCCAGCTCGGCTGATATTGCTACGAGGAGCGAGGCAGTACGCCTGGGGCTAGAATACTGTACTTGCGGACGTTTTAAAACGCCTTGCGGTCATTGCCAAGTAGCCTCAACGCTGGGACGCGATATGGCTGAGAATGATGGCAATGCTTTAACAGCTCACTTCTCCGAGGGGAAGGACGCAAGCAGATCCAAAAGACCTGGCTTGTCTGTCATCTGAAGCACGCAGGATCGAAACAGAGGATCCTACATCGGGACAACTCTGGGTTGCCATTGCAGTTTTCCCTTCCCGCACAGACAGCAACCGAGGGTCTTTGCTGTGTTTCGCACCCTAGAGACCTATCGGTAACCTCGGAAGCTATTCAGTGAGAATACTCATGGCAACTGAATGCATCATAACTGCGTCAAAACGGCTTAAAAGGTAGCAACGGATAGTCGATGTTGACGCCGAAACACGTCGGAAAGAACCTACCATGCCAACGCTACCGGCATGGCTTTGGCATGGCTTTGGCATTCCTTTTTAATCTTGACGATTTTATCCCTTTGACACTGTATCCAGCTGCTGATCTTGTTGCGTCCTTTGCAGTGCTGTGTATTTACCTCCCATTCGCACCAATTCATCATGAGTTCCCCGCTCTAGAACTTGCCCTTCGTGCAAAACAATGATTTCATCACAATCCTGAATTGTACTCAACCGGTGTGCAATGATGATGGTTGTTGTAGCGTTGCCAACTTCCTTGATGTTTGTCATAATGTCCAACTCAGTAGCACTATCCAAAGAGGAAGTTGGTTCATCACAAAATAGTATTGGAGCCCTTTTGAGAATGGCTCGAGCAATGGCTACTCTCTGCTTTTCTCCTAAGACAAGACAAGGTTGCAGAAAGAAATGACTCAGGGTGATTGCATTGCCTCAAACCTGCAAAAACACGCACGCCACATCCATTTTCAATTACCTCCAGAAAGCTTGAGACCTCGTTCCCCCACAACGGTATCATAGCCATTTGGGAATGATAAGATAGTGTCATGAATGCGAGCCTTCTTGGCAGCTTCCTCTACTTCCTCCCATGTAGCATCCAAGTTTCCATAATGGATGTTGTATCCAATGCTTTCGTGAAAGAGCACTGTGTCCTGCGGGACGACTGCAATTGATCTCCGAATCGAATCGAGAGTCAGGTCATCCATGGAATGCCCTCCTAGCGTAATTTTGCCAGCATCGGGAGTGTAGAAACGGTACAGCAGCCGTAGTAAGGTGCTCTTGCCTATTGTAATGAATGACCAGCAATAGGATTGTGGTCAGTTGACAGCGGGTTGTATGCAGACAAACTTCTCAACAGCACTGTCTTGCTGCACGTACCACACCCTGAAGACCCAACAAGTGCCACGGTACTTCCTTCCTTGATGTCTAATGTGGTCCCCTTCAGAATTTGCCGTTCTGTGGCAGCGGAAGGATATGCAAACTGAATGGCCTCAAAACTGATATTGGTCCCCATCGTCACAGGATCATACGTGATGGCAGTGCCTTTGTCCACAATCCGAGGTTTTTGATCCAGCAATTGATACATGTTTTCCATGTCAATAAAGGATTGCCGTACTTCACGATAGACACTTCCAATGAAGAAGAGCGGGACAGAGAGTTGAAACAAAAGCCCATTGACCAGTACTAAATCACCCACAGTGGCTGTTCCATCGATTATTTGTTGTGTAGTAAGCCACATGACTCCAGTCAGGCCAGCAGAGAAGATGGCTTGTTGTCCAAAATTCAGCAAACTGAGTGAATTCTGTGCCTGCAAGGCAGCCTTTTGGTATCCTCGCAAACTTGTTTCGTATCTGTTTCCTTCATGTTCATGGTTTGTAAAATAGTTGACAGTCTCATAGTTCAAAAGTGAGTCAACGACTCTTCCGCTGGCTTCATTTTCCAGTTTGTTCATGTCTCTCCTGAACTGAGTTCTCCATTGTGTAATGCCAAGTGTGAATCCAACGTATGCACTGACAGTTCCCAGTACAATTGCACTGTGCATGGGTCCAAAGGAATAGGCCATCAATCCAGTCACCAGTGATACTTCAAAAATGGTTGGAGCAATGTGGAATACCATGGCATTCAAAACAAATGTGATGGAGCGATTGCCTCTGTCCAAGACACGAGATAGCTGTCCAGTATTCCTTTCCAGGTGGAACTGTAGATCCATCTGATGGACATGATCAAAGGTGCGACGGCCCACTTTTCGAATAATGTCTTGTGCTACATGAGCAAAGACAACATTGCGTAGTTCCTGTAGTCCAGACGCAGACGCTCTAGCAGTGCCATATCCCAAGAGTAGGAGTATTGGCAGGCCTGTTGTAGCTGCCATAGTGGGGTCACTCATCAAGAGATCTGTTCCTGGCAGACTATCCACCAAATGCTTGAAGATGTATGGTACTTGAATTGTAACTGCTTTTCCAGCCATCAGTAAGCCCAGCGAACCCAAAACTCTCTGTTTGCGCAATTTTGCCCTTGTGACAGTTTCTTTGTCATCTTTCTCAGGGTCGACTGAAGGCCATAGAAAATCAAACATTTGCTTGGTGATTTGAAATTGCAGCTTTCCTTCTTCACTTGGACTAAGATCAATCTGTTTATTGAGCTTGTTGTCAATCTTTGAACTCGACTTATCCACACCAGTCGAAGTAGTAGACAGAGCTTTGATCGCATGACATTTGGTGGCATGGATCCAACAAGGAATTGCAGAAGATCCAATCCGCACACGATACCTCTTTGGATAAATTGCGACGGAGGATGACAGGATCCTACAACATCCACTGCCTCTACCACATCTGCTGCCATGGCCATAGCGGGCAAGCTGTCCGGACAAGAGCACCATCATGGTCATGTTGTCCTTGAAGATCGAAAAATGGTGCTTCCCCAAAATGGCCCCCTTCACCCCAAACCCCCAATTTGGTGGGGGCGGGAGTCGAGTGAACACGGCGCTGAACTCGAATGGACACCGAGACCTGAAATCAAAACTCTATGCATAGCTCTGTTCTGCACAAGGACGCTTGGTTTCCCATCATGTCTATAGTTTTATAAATGTACAGAACTACCCTAGCTAGCTTGGCATTCTTCAAACGAAGATATATGGATCAACTTTGCCACCATTCCGTGCCACTTCTATCATCTCGTCCTCGCTCACTTCTTGTTGCGGCAGACTATCGGGTAGTTCGTCTTCGCTGTCTTCTTCCGTTGGCTGTGATGGTCCACTGGCTTCCACTGGCTGTGACGGCCCATCAGAGCCATCAGGAATGTCTTCCAGTAGCTCATCAAGAATGTCGAATCCAACCACGCTGCAGACAATGGAATATTCGTCACCGACCTCAGTTTCTGCACTGTCCACAACCGAAATAAACAGGTATTCTGTGGCATTGTCCGGGACGGCAACACACCAGTCGTTAGAAAAGCAGAGCTCTTCCATGCTTCCATCTGCTGCCACACCACGAAGATACATGTCTGCATTTGTGCCCGTAAAGTTGCAGTTCACAATGGAATCCGCTACATCTTCCATGTAGAATACCTTGGAGTTCCGGGTTTCTTCTCCAAAGAAGGAATCCCCGGCCAGGAAGTAGGGCTTTCTATTTCCCGTCAAGTCTTCTGCAGAAAGGACAACCGGTTCATCCGGAACCAACTGGTCCAGAGGAGCAAGGTCGCACTGCAGCAAGACTTCTTTGGAGCTGTCAAACTCTTCTACGAGCACCCAAAAGGTAGTACCTGGAACGGCCCAAGGCCAAAAGAGGAGATTGTCTGAGCCCAGATCATTCTGGCTAAGAGTCTTTCCATAACCCAGTCCAATAGGGGAGAAAGACAAATCCAAATCAGTTTCGTTGCCTTGCAATAAAACAGTCTCGCAAGCAATGTCACTGGGGGCATCCGCGACCTCCAGCACGAAGAAAGAAGCATCCCCGTTGTCCATAATAAATGTTGTTGGGGTGCCCACCTCCAATGTGTTCACCTCCACAAAATCCATGGCACAAACCAGCGTCACGGTGTCACTAGGTGCGCCCTCAAAGCCAAAGACAGTCACCTGCATGGGAACATCCTCGTAGAACACACCGAGATGACAAGGAAGAAACAGATCATTTGCACAGAACCTTGTGTCCACTAGCGGATCCTCAAAACTCATCCACAAGGCCGTGGTCCCCTCATCCATGTCACCAGATGTCATTAGCTGACAAACCACTTGACTGGGAGGTTCTCCAACGTCGAGAATAAAGACATGCCGATCTCCCGTCTGTACCGAAATTGTTGTCATTTCCTCCAGTTCCAGATCTGCCACCGGACCCGCAAAACATCTCATTCCAATCTCTTCCTCGGATGTATCGCCAGCAAAGATAAATGCCTCTACCAGCACGTACTGTGCCTCTTGGACCGTAACGGTGCATTCTTCGGTCGAATCCAAGCCCCGAGACAAGCACGAGTTGTCGGGGTCGTACGCGCTGACCATGTACAAGTCAACGTCGGCTTGCGGATCCTCCGAAAAGGACGCCGTTTCACAGTAGACACTGGTGTTGTTGCCGGCTTGTACCACGTACGCAAAAATGCTGTCCGGGGACGGAAAGGATACTTCTACGGCTTCTCCCAAGGTGATTTCCTCGAGTGGGTTTCCTTCGCATCGCAGCGTCAGCTCACCATCATCCTCCGGGAGGGATCCAAACTCGGGCGACAACACCACAAAGGTATATCCTTCTGGTTCGGGCACTGTGATTGTCACGCAGGATTCATTGTTTCCCAGATTGGAGGATTCACAATACGCCACTACCGTGCCATCGGGCTCTTCGCTAAAAAGGGCCATATCCACGTCGCCCCCGCTGCTTTCGGGTGAAAACGATTCACAGGTAATGTGCTCCAGCTCGTCGGCATCGTAGAAAAGGTAGATTCGTTGTCGAATGTCATCAAAGTTGATGGGAATGTCCTCGTCCAGAGTAATGTCTTGTACAGGCCGCTCGTAGCATGTCAAGACCACATTGGTAGACTCTCTAAATGCCAGAACGGTCACTCGAAAGGAGAATCCAGGGTGTGACAGCGTGAAGCACTCCTCTTCGGAATCGATGCCAGCCGATTCACAAAGTCGAGAATCGTCACGGTCCGGATCCGTAAACAGGAGATCGGCATCACCATCGTCGTCACCGGCCCCCGAAGTGAAGCACGCAATCGATGTCCAAACATCGGCTTCGGGGACTCGGAACGACAGTTGATCTCCCTCTTGGAGTGGAGAGGGCAGTATTATTGGTTTTCCGTAAATGATTTCCCGGACGGCCCCCACACTGCCCATTTGTTTGGTTTGTTGTTTCCCAGGTGCTCTGGCTATTTTGGGACCTTGCAACTTGTTGTTGTTGTTGTTGCTGCTCTTGTTGCTGCTGCTGCTCGTAGACGATGATGTACCCAACTTGTGAGGTGGCGCCTCTTTCTTGGAAGAGGAGGATTCTGGAGCATCCTTTTTGGATATTATTGGCTTCTTGCCTCCTCCAAAGGAAAGCGGGGATTTCATGGTGGCCCCTGCCGCTACCGATATAGATAACAACCACATATGCCCCAACAGCATCAGAAGATGCAGGGTGTGGGGAATCTTCATTGAATTCTTGATCTATCGGTGTCTGCCTAGCGTTGGACCTACCGAAATCGTCTGAGGGTATCGGAACGAAGAAGAAAACACAAAAGGAATCAGCCTAACTGACGCTGCTTTGTACGTACGGTATGTGCTTCACATCAATGGGACTATTCCCTTACGGTATCTCTCGCAACGTACCTCAACAGGTCGACGATATTGGCGGCGTCGTCAATTTGAGATTGAACAATGATTGATCGACCCTTTGCTTGGGGTTCACGGTTGAGGTCTTTCGGAAGAGCCTTGAAGGACGAATGGATTCTCAAGTCGTTAGTCATCTCTTGTCCTAATTATGTGTCCATTTGGAATTCCAATGCCTAAGTACTACATGTGTAAGCTATGATTATCTACACTTGTAAGAGCGCAAAGCTTCGGTACTTAGGCTCCAAGCCAAGTGATGCTTGTCACATGTTCGAGCTCACTTTTTAGGGGCAAGCACCAGGCGACATCTGCCGGAACGTGCTGCTGGACTGATCAGATCTGCCTGGTTCGCTTCTCCAAAGGCCTGCAAATTTTAAAAATAATAGCTTGAAGCTTCTATCAAAGCGGTACCGTCCTAATAATAGACTACTCTACTACAATATTGCGAAAACCGAAGGAAGTCCAGCCGACAAGTGCAATCAGCGGAAGAACAACCTGCCATAAAAACAATACGCTCATACTAGCTAGATAGTATCCATCTCACTTCCTTCATTCAGCTAGCTACGGTACTAGTACTAGCAAGCAAGCTAGCAAGCAGCACAGCAAACAACCCTTCTTTTCACACACAACCAACAATCATGCCGATTAGTAGTACTCGTACATACGTGTATTCTATTTCCTTTCTAATCCTCCGCCTCCTGGCATCGATTGCGGTGTTGTCGGTTCGCAGCTGGCGGGTAGAATCGGTTCATCTCATTATCGACGACGACGACGAGGACAGCTTCTTTCTGGAGTCACTCAATGTACGTCGGACTCGTCAACGTCGACGAGAACTACACGATGACAACATTATTTGGGCTACTACCGATACTGCCGACGATAATAATAATGATAATAAGCAACCCAACAACAACAACAACAACAACTCATGCAAGACCCTTCGCGTCTTGCTCACCACCAATGACATTGCCTCGGGTTTGAACGATGGCTTCACTGACTACAGGTACGATATTTGATATATATATATATATATATATATATATATACATGTATAGCCAACGAAACCAATGCTGGCTCCTTTCCATATTATTTGCTTCCACTGCAGACACTGATTTTCTGTTTCCTCTCTCTGTCTCTTTGGACTAATAATAATAACTAAATACTGTAGTGAAATTCGTTTTGGCACCATTCAGGGAGGAACCGTTCTGCTGTCCAACCCGGACGATGAAACGGACAAGATTGGAGCGTACACGGTTCTGACCACCTTCTTGTCCCCCTACAACTATACCGATTCTTCCGTGGACTGCATTGGCACAGGGTCCTACCAGTTTGGACTGGGAAAGCAGATTTCGTTTTCCAGCACATGTGCCAGTCTACCCTACTTTACCATTACGGGAGGCCAAGGCGAATACCATGGGGCGACTGGCTTTGTCGAATTCATGATTCCAGATCCCGACAAGAGAGGATACTTTCATGACATTCGGGTCTGCACACACTGAATTGAATTGAATTGAACAAAATGATGATGATGATGATGATTGTACAAATGTAAATACTATCATAGCATATAACTATGTAAATACGAGACTTGAGCATACACAGTCGCTTGGGATTTGCTGTTTGGTGCCCGTCCCGCCTTGAGAGGACAGCACACAAAGGGAGAATGAAGGGCTGACTCGACTCTGGCCAACGCAGTACAGTCGTAGTTGGCTGGCTTACCCTCGTGGTTCTGTGCCGAAGGCTAGTCCGCCAAGCAGGACAGGTACCGTTCAGCCAAAGCAAGGGGATCCGGCGTGCTGCCCTTTTGATTGTCTTCCCGTTTCATTGCAATAATAAGACCCAGCTGAGTTTTATTGTCGAGCTTGGTTCTTTATTCCCTCCCTCAAACTTACTTGACAAAGAGCCAGAATGTTGAATGATGAATCTAACCGGCCAAACTCTCGGTGTCGGTATACCACGACAGCCCAAAAGCAACGAACAAGGTGCAAGGTATTCGTCCTTTTATACCGTAGTAGACGACGGACCGCATTCAACCACAGCGTGTAGATTGTAGATATCTGTCCCCCCAAAAGCAATCAGTGCAAAATATATGGATCCGTGTCACCATGCCGCCGCACTTCTGTCATCTCGTCCCCGCTACCTTCATAAGGAGCTCCAAAGGTCTCATCTCCACTCCCAATTTCTTCTGCTACTTGGCCAACAACCACCTCCTGATCAGCATCATCAATGACACTCCCCTCCGTCGGAGAAGGGTCCACAGGTTCCATGCCCTCTTCTTCTTCTTCTTCTTCTTCTTCCATTTGGACAACCTGTTCATCGTCATCAATGACGCTTCCATCTATTGGAAAGGGCTCCCCGGGCTCATCCATGCCATTTCCTGGAGCATCACCAGGTTCCAACGCATTGCAAGTGAGGATCATCCCATCATCAAGGCCACCAGTGATATTTGTGGCTACAGCAGCAACAAAAAGATATTTTGTGGCATTGCCAGTGACCACCAGACAATCAAAGGAAGAGTAGCATGAAGCTTCCATATTCCCATTTTCTGCCACTTCACGAATATACAAGTCTGCAGCAACATCTTCGCCAACAAGGAGGGTGCAATTGAGGACCGTATCAGCCACATCTTCCATATAGAATACTTTCAAATCTGCGACATCCAAGTGAAACCCAAAATCAGAGTCTCCAGCCAGGAAGTAGGGCTTCCTGTCACCTGACAACTCATTTGAAGAGAAAGTTACAGGTTCACCAGGATACAGCTGATCCAAAGGAATAGTGTCACATTGTACCATGACAGTCTTCGTGCTGTCAAACTCCTCTATTAAGAGGTGAAAAGTTGTGCTGGGAACAGACCAAGGCCATATGAGGGTGTTGGTTGAGCCAAAATCACTCAGGCTTAGTACCTTTTGAAACCCAACTCCAACTGGAGATAATGCAATGTCCAGATCTGTTTCATTGCCTTCCAACACAATTGTCTCACAGATGATGTCACTGAGTGCATCTTCCACTGTAAATTGATAGAAGAAGGCCTCCTCGTTATCAGCAGTCAAAGATAGCGGAATACCTAGCTCAAGGATTTCAGCTTCTTTGATCTCATTTGCACAATCAAGGGAGACAGCTTCCATTGTACCTTCAAACAACCCAAAAACTCTGACCCGGATGGGTACATCATCAAAGAAAACACCCAAATGACATGGGATCCCAAACTCATTGCCACAACCTCGAGAATCAATCAGATCATCATCAAATGTCATATCCAAAAACACTGATGCTGCTGACACTTGACACATAATTTGGGCTGGGGTTTCTCCAACTTCAAGGTAGAAAGTGTGCATGTCTCCCAGCTGCACATCCATTGTTGCTGAGTTTCCCAGCTCTAATTCCGCAACTGGACCAGCGTAGCATGTAATTGTAAGGTCGTTTCCATCTGCTGGATCTCCCGAAAAAAGCGAAAACTCAACAATCACAGTGGAGGCTTCCTTCACTGTGATTGTGCAGGATTCAGAAGAATCAATGCCCCTTGATTCGCATATTGCATCCATGGAATACATTATCATGTCAACATCTCCTTCATAGCCAGCTGCTGCTAAGGTGCGACAGAAAAGACTTGATGATTGGTTCAGTGAAAATGACAAGGCAACAGCACCTGCCAGCCCTGGTGTGTCAATGGTGATATCAATAGGCTCCCCTAAGGCCAAGTCTTCCAAAGGACTAGCCTCACAGTACAAAACAACGTCTTCTTGAGGAATGGCACCAAACTCTGGTGTGAGCAACACAAATGTTGTTGCTCCGGGTATGGCAATCGCGGTACATGCTTCCGCTGAAGCAGCACCAAATGATTCACACAAGGAAAATGACTCCCTGTTGGAATCCCGTGAGAACATGACGAGGTCAATGTCGCCTTCTCCAGCGCTGTTTGTCGTGCAGACAATGGATTCCGGTCCATCGGGCTCATAAGAAAAATATATCCGCTCTCTTACATCAAATGTGACGAAAATATCTTCTCCCAATGTCAATTCTCCAACTGAGCGTTGATTGCATTGCAGCACAACATCTGAGCTGTTCATGTAAGCTGCAACTGTCACCAAAATTGACTCATCAGGATCGATCAGCTCAAAGCACTCTTCATTGGAATCCACCCCAGCCGATACGCAGAGCAGCTCCCCGCTTTCAGCGTCGTAAAATGCAAGGTCAACATCGCCTACTAGCCCAGCTTCGAACCCAGGTGCTTGTGTTGCTGGCATGGTGGTGCCATCATCTGTGTTGGTTGTATCATCCGTGCTTGTACCGTCCCACAGCGCTTGTGTATAACCGAGCAACTTGGCTGCTGCTTGCTGCTCCTCGGTCAATTCATCCCAGAACAGCTCCTCTGTGTAGACGGGAATCACATTGTCCCAGCTATTCTGATCATAACCGAGTACTTCAGCTGCAGCCTGTATCTCGAGAGGCAGCTCCTCCCACCAAAAGTCATCATAAGTTGTTAATCGACGTAACGATCGATCATCCGCTTTTCGTCCAGACAGCGTGGTGAAACAGGCAAGAGAGACAACCTCGTCTTGCATTGGAATGGCATAGGTCACCTCTTCTCCCTCGAGCAGCGGCGAAGGCAAGGGCACAGGGATTCCAAGAACAATGTCCTTGTCGGCACGAGAGCCTGAGCTAATCTGTCCATCAGTCTTGTTCCCTGTACCTCGCGCTCTCTTTTCTTGCTGGAACTTATTTGACGGTGTCTTTGCGTTCTTCTCTGCTTTCTGACTCGTAGACAGTTCTTTGCTTGCCTTGGCTCTCTCGTGTCTTCCCAACGGAAGCATCGAATCATTGCCAGAAGCAGAGCCGCACATGGTGGCAAAGCTAAGCAATAAGAGGAGTATTGCCTTCATCATTCTGTATCGAGACCTGGCAAACTGGAATCAACGCATTCGAGGTTGCGCTGGAAGCTTGAAGGCATTCGTCTTGTTAAGCCAAGCGTTGTCTAACAGTGCCTGCAGAGTTTACCTGGCTAGTGGCTAGCAATCGGCGTATTGAAGAATGGAAGCAAATTTGAGTGCCGTCGAAGCCAAAGCAATCAAGACGCCGGCAAGCTTTGTAAGCCAACATGTTGTCAAAACTGGAGTTTTGTCGCTGGCAACACTGCTTCTCTGTGGTCGCGTTGTTGGTGATTGCCAGAAGATTGCCTCTTTCGTCAATTTTCTCGAACGATGCCCCCTTTGTCATCCGTGGTAACCAAATTGGTTGCCTTGGTGACAACTTTGGCGACTGCCTCCAATCTTGCTTCTCGTACCCCATGCAACTTGCTTCCAGTGCCAATTCGGAAGATGATATTATGTGTCATTTACTCTGTAGACAGTTTTGGACGGGTAGATGTGGTAAATATACCGCTTACTTTGCATATTTGTATCAAAAATAATTATTACCGCATATACCTCTTTTCCAAAGCTGGGCTTTGGAGGAGTACCAGTACAGTGTACTACTACAGTCGTACGGTACCGGTACTACTATTAGTAGCGAGGAGGCACAAACTACTACAGTACCGTAATAAACCGTGGTCGACAAGCAACGCGCACGTTTTTATCACGAACTCTCCCGTACCGGTACCCGGTACGACTGTATGACATACTTGTGCCGGTACCGGTACAACTTCTGGGAGATGTTAAAAGAATCGGGAATTCTCGCTTTTTTGAACACCACCAGTTAGTTTATTCATCAGTGATTAACACACACTTACCCAAAGCTTTAACATCCACTTTTTGCTCCCTAGCTCTATTGTCCTTCAGTCCCGTATTTGAACACACACTTAGTCAATTTGGAGAAACAAGAGTTTCTTGTGATGCCTGAATCAAAACTCTCATTATTTCTTTGGTTTCATGATACAGCATGTTTACAGCTTGTTTGCCTTAGTGTTAAACAAAAGGGGAAGAAAACTGGTGGTGTTAAACAAAGCAGGGAAAAAGCTGGTGGTGTTTAAAAAACAGAGAATTCCCGCTTAACATCTCCCTGATGTCTGGCGACTCGACTCGACTCGTGTTTCCTGACGAGAAGCCATTGTTGTGTTCCGCTCTTCAACACTCCGACACGCCATGATTGACAACTACATCACACAAGAGGTCCCTCCGGGTGCGCCAACCCACGTAAACTTGTATTGCTTGGGAAAGCAAAGCCAAATTTACAAATTTTACTTCTCTTGGGGTATGTATGGATACCAGCCTTTTTGGCAACATAAGGGTACGCTGAACTTTTTCAATAAAAACTGGACCTGACTTTAGCC